AAATATAAGGATTTTAATACAACATCATTTAACCTTTTTGGAGGTCACTTTAATTCAATATTACACCTACAATAATCAGTTAATGTAATATATTGTATATTTGATTGACACAATTGCGATTATTGTAATACTGGAGTTAATTAATAGTTAGTAGTTTTGGTGTTGTAGGCAAGTGCTAAGAAGAAAGAAATCACATCTCCATCAAGCTTGTCTGCAGATGGAAGCATGAAGTGCTCCAGACTCTGGGAGCTTGATTTACAAATGAAAATGTATATTTTACTTTAATCAAAGGAGACTGTTTTTGTTATTTTTTTAGTCTGTCCTGATATTACAGTGTGCTGATTATGATGAATCCTTTCAGGGGTTTCCTTTTTTGTATTTTGTTGCAATAAGGGGCTAAACTGGCTTCTGAGTGGATCGTTACAGGGCAGCTGATCACAGACGTTACCTCTGATTGGTCAAAAGATCGAAAAAGTCATAATTTAGTATAGTAAGCTAACCACCAAAAGAGCAGTATTTCACTTAATCTTCAGATTACTCCTGAAAGTCTCTGATACCAATACACTAATCTTCTCTGTGGGATTGTAGAAAAGTATCTGGACATCATAGCAACACAGTGGGTCTATCAGAAAGCAGTTCCAATATTATACTGAAATCACAACAAATACTCTAATGAACAAGAGAAACATGCCTATTTTATCATGATGAGGATGTTTTTGAAAAATGTTGTCAGATAGTTTTGAGAATTTACTTTACGCTGTCTATAGTTTAAGTTAAGTAGATTGAACAGGTATATTCAGGTATACAGGTATATGTATAATACATATACAGTATTTATCGATATTGCAAATATCTCCTCTAAAGACCTCTATGACTGAGGTTTGTGACCAAAACATGGCTTTTATATTTTCATAAAGTTCCATTTTAGTCAGAGTTTGTCTGCAGCCTCTCTTTATAAAAAAATAAAAAAATAAAATAAAAAAATAAATGAAACTGAACACCCTTCACATTCCTTACCAAACACATCATCATATTTTTTATCCATATAGACACTAAAACACGCTCTCAGACGCACCCTGCATAGGAAAAAAAAACCAAAACAAATGATTTAAATTTGACAGAAAATTCCCTAAAAAGGGAAAAAAAACCAATAAGATAAACTCTCCTTAAAACACATAAAAGAGGAAATAAAGCTATTTAGCAAAATGTAAATTCTATTTTAACCTGTTGACTGTTTCATGTGACAGTATAATTCATTATCCTAAAATAATTCATTCTGTGATAGCCCTTTAATATCTCTGTGTTATCTCTATTCTCTGTGCAGACTGACACGTGTTGTGTGGATGCTATTATCCTAATACATTAATATCACAGTAAAAGCTTTTCTCAGTACCAGTAGTTGAAATCCTCGGGACAGTCACATGCTTTGGTAAAAATCAGATAAAGGAGTCCAAATGTTGGCCAATCGAATCAGCTCTCTGACCATTAATGCTGTCCCTGTGTCTCTTTCATCATCACACTGTAACAACAGTTGTCCATCGTTTACAAATCTGTTGGTATTGACATTTTTTTCCCCCACATTTTTAGTCTGCTTAATAAAGCTGAGTGTCACACAAATGTCCTTATTTGGTATGATTGTTTGAGTGGAAAGAAATCTTGTTGGGGAAAAGCCTTTAAGGTGGTTCTCCTTGGAAAAAAAAACATTAATGGATTTGGTTTTTGATTTCAGGATTCTGAGAAAATTCCTCCAAACATGTCTCCTAAACTTCCATTAAACAAACCCTTCCAGCTCACAGTTTGGCACTCACTTTTTCATATTCATGGTGAGATTGAGAGTTGGGTACTTTGCTACAACGAGCAGGTGGTTTGCGTAGTCTAACCCTAAGAGAACTACCTTTCAGCTTTAGAAACATTTGCTGAATGTATTAAACTGAGAAATATAGCTGTACTGTCTGAAGCTCTTTGGGTTCTGGAAGGTGAAGAGCTTTTCCTTAGCATGGTTGTAGCTCTTGTGTTATATGCTGTCAATGAAGAAAGAAGGAAATCTATTAAAGTTTGCATTTCCCTCCACATATCCAGAGGAATTTCAACCTGTTTGAGTATATAGAGAAAGCAGCCTGGCAGGTGGGACTGTACATGATGTTGGCTGATTTCAGATCAATCATATTCCTTCAGTAGAAAATGGGTCTGGTTCTGTAAGATTACAGTGCAGGGGGTTTCACTTTTTGACCCAAGCTGGGCTTTTAATTCAGCTTTTAATGAACACAACTGCATTCACAGCATCCATTGGTAAGAAAGCTGTGTCTGTTTACATATGTCACACGCTGCTGTGCTCTGATTGGTTGTAGATCAACACAAATCTACCAGAGGCACTTTTGCATAAAGGGTCACCCCCTGGAAAAAGAATATAAGTTGGTAGGACCATAGACTGTATATAGAATGAACACCATCTGCCTCCTTGCTGTGTGAGGCCACTGCGAGAACAGCACCCTCTGGTGATGGGCTGCAGTATAGGTCATAAATCCCGCCTCCTATAGCGATGCTTATGGGGCTGTGGACAAACTTTAGAAATTAGTTACAGAGAATATAAATTTTTCTCCCCCCAGGTTGCGATGTTGACATGTAGTTACTGTAAGACTGGTTTGTGCTCAAGTCCTCTTTTTTCTGTGCAGATCCATTTTATTTTACAAGTTATTAGGGGGTTCATGTTTTCGATGATTGACACTTGATACAGCCTATGGGCATATGAAGATTGTGTAGCTCACCTGGGGGATACGCTGTTTGATCGGAGCGTCATCACAGCAACTCTTGGCGACTCTCCAGCTGAATGCATGCAACATTACTGAGCAAGTGGTGGTTCCAGGAAGTGGAGAAAATCCTGGAAATACTGAGAGCAACTTGGCTTCAAATTCATGTAATGACAGAAGGCAGAACCAAGTTGTCCATAGCATACAGACTATGGGTACAACCCAGTCCCTTTCACCCTAACCCTAACTAATTCATTTTATTGATGTGCCTGTGATTTAGAAAGTTAAATGCATTCTTAAAGATAGCAGCCCCCCCGGTGAAAAGATAAATAAATAGATAAAAATAAAAATGTGTTTCGGAATTTAGATGAGGTGAAAGTGAACTGTGGTGCTCAGGTGAGCTGGAGTCTTTTCATGCTCTCCCTCCAAACCCCATGTGTTCAGAGAGGTTTAGGTTTTGTCAGCAGGTAATTGGCAGGTGATACTTGCTGAACAGTGAACCCCATTTAGAACCTTGATTTTATTGTCAGCATTGCAACAGAATACTCAGCCCTGTGGGAAGCACATTATAGTCCATTGTCCTACAGCAAAAGGACCGTTTTACGAACTGAATCATTCAGATGAGTACCAAATAGAACGAGATATGAATTAAGACCCACACATTGATGCACCATTTGCATTGGTAAGCAGTGCACAGCATGTGCTAAATGCTTCTGACAGTGTTTCCAATGCAGTGTAATTGAACCACCTTAAATGTAGTGATTTCTGCATAATACGTTCTTCTATCTATAGGTGATGTTTTCATCATTTAGTCACGGGCCTCTTTTCTGGGTTGGATAGGAAAGGGTAGCGGTGGAATGGTTTGACATGGACTGATAAAAGAAGAGGTAAGAGGAGGGACATGGCAGACACAGAATGAGGAAACCATGTTTTCCTTTCCTTTTCTAGTTTGTCTCAGATCAATTTGCATCACAGGCATGAATGCATAAAACAATATCATCAAAGCAACAAGACAAAAGACACAGCATTAACATGAAATCCCCCTAAGCCCCTAGATGTATGTGTGTGTGTGTGTGTGTGTGTGTGTGTGTGTGTGTGTGTGTGTGTGTGTGTGTGTGTGTGTGTGTGTGTGTGTGTGTGTGTGTGTGTTTTTGTCAGTGCTCATGAGATTGAGTCTGAATTAAGGTATTTCATCACATTCCACTCTTGAATGATAGTGCTTTATCTCCCATAATCCACGTGTATCATTTTCAATCACAAGTAGATTTCAGATTTTTGGTTGTGGCTGCAGTTTTAGGCTCTGTGGACTCTGATAGTGTCATCAGTCTGAGTTCAGCTTTCAGTAACTTACAGCAGAGCTTGATTCTTTGGTCTCTCGGGGCTCTGCTGCAAAAACAGCGCTGACATTTAATCACCTTTTGAAATGATTGTGGAAACAGTGAAAGCAAACTCTTCCTCATTTATATGTCCCACAGTTGGGGGGAATATTTGCCATCAACTGGAGTTCTGGATACCTGTTGAGAAGAAACTATGTTCACACTTTATGCTGAACAGCCTCTACTACTGCTGGACGTGAAACCCAACTCGGGACTTTTTCTCTGCATGGTCAATGTCAGATATTTGTTTACATCACCTGACATTGAAAATGGAAGCTAATGTAAAAACTAATTCCTACATCTTTTTTTTCTCTTTTTTCTTTTGTCGAAAACTGAAAACTGGACCAATAAGTTGTTCATGGGGTCTGCTCTAATTTTTCACCCTCTCTGTTTTTTGGGGGGATTTTTTCACCTCAGCACTTAGAGAGGATGAGCTCATACTGTTTTAACCTTGAATTTACTTCTTTGGTTGTTTGTTTATAACAGGATTGGTGTTAGCATTAAAAGCATTAAAAGCTAGGCGTGGGAGCCACTTTCTTGAAGATCCCTGCTTCATGTCAGTCATGTCTCACGTCTCTAACACCAGAGATCTGAGTAAGTGAGCGAGCCCCGAGGCTGCAGCTCAGAAACCTAAATACAGCCAGTAGAAAGTGATGGGTTCATAAAAACTGGACAATTTATGTGCTGGAAAAAGACAGAGCTGCTGGAGAAACCAGAAAAAAAAGAAGGAAACTAAATCTGCAGGAGAGAAACAAAAAGCTGTGGGCTGTTAAAAGACTGAGGGGGAGGGAAGAAGAAATAGATAGATGGATAAAAAGCTCCCCAGGCCTCGGGTTCAACGCTCAGTGGTGTCTGTTAGGTCAGAACCCCCCCCCCCACACACACACACACACACACACTGATGGGATAAGTGGTTTAGATCCCCTTAGATGAGAGGTTGCGGGGACAATGAAGGAGGAAGCGTGTGTGTGCGTGTGTGTGTGTATACCCCCAGACTTATTACTTTACACATTACAGACTTTAACACAACATTATTTAGGTCCTCTTCAAACATAAATCTCACTGTTATGGAAACAGCTGAAGTTAGGGAATTCATGAAGCCTTTGTTTGGTGGGCACCAGCTACCTTTTTCTGGTGGGAAAAGGACAAAAACAAAGTTTAATTGAGTAATCAAACGTTGAATCAGCCTTAAACAGATTGAAATCAATCTCACATCTGAGGTCGGAAATCTCATTTCAGGGACTTCGCTCCTGGAAGGACCACTAAGAGACGACAACTTAAAATATATGGATACTTTACTGACAAATGCTCGGTGATAACACAAATTCAATAAATGATGATAAAATAATAAGAAAATAAAAGAACACCTAATGGATAAATAAAGGAATGGTTTGAACTGAGCTAAGACTGGAGGTTAATGACAGTGAGAGCATAAGGAAACATTTAACCTACGTTAACAGGGTTACGAGGATAAATTTAGTAGAAGAATTGCAAATCATGTTCACAGAAACCAAAGTTTATACCAGAGAGTGATATTTATGTAGTAGAAATCTTGATGAGATAATGTTCTTAAAGACTCTGCATTAAGAATGAATGCATTTGATCAGCCTCAGAAGTGATAAAGTGGGAACTGTCTGTGTCAGATAAATGAAACACATCAGGAAACACATCAGTTATGAATAACTTCATGGACAGTAATAAAAATAGTTTAGTGACATTAGGAAGTTAGTTCATTCACCTAGACAGGGGCAGAGTTCAGTTTAACAGAGTAATATCATAGACTGTATATACTATGGACAACCTGGTTCCGCCTACCGCCTGTATACAGATTTGAAGCCAAATAGCTCTCGGTATTTCCGGGATTTTTCTTCATTTCCTGAAACCAGCGCTGCGCAGTAGCAATGTGCGCATTCGGCTGCGCAGTTGCCGAGAGTCACTGTGATGACGCTCGGCTCAAACAGCATTTCCCCCTGGGTAAGCTACGCAATCCCTGAACGCCCATAGGCTGTATCAGGTGTCAATCATAGAAAACATGAACCCCCTAATAACTTTTAAAAACGGAGCTTCACAGAAAAAAGAGGACTTGGGCACAAACCAGTCTTACAATAACTACATGTCAACATCACAAGCAGGGGGGAGAAAAAAATATGTTCTGTGTAATAAATTTCTGAATTTTGTCCACAGCCCCATAAGCTTTGCTGGAGAGGTAGGATTTATGACCTATACTGCAGCCCCTCAACAGAGGGTGCTGTTCTCGCAGTGGCTTCACCCAGAGAGGAGGCAGACTCTGTCCATTCTATATACAGTCTATGAGTAATATATATACTCCTGCCCTGTTTGGTCTGCTGATATTCTGAGATTTTTTGCTGTCTCCACAGTGAGGGAAGTTCTGAGACATCTCAATAAACAGGGCTGGCTTTCCTTTGTGAAAGGTCCTGTTTGACATCAGGTTTACTTTGTTATTTGCCTAATACATGAAGGAAAAGTTCTGTGGTGAGTGTCTGAGTGTTAGAAATTGACATATCGTTGTTGTACCTCCAGTTCAACTAACTCTTCTCCAGCTTCCCCAGAACTGTATATCCATGTTATATTTATTTATTTATTTTTGTTTTATCACTGTACCAATAACATACTATTTGTAAATTAGTTGTTAAGTGGACAGTAAATCAGTTAACAATAACAACTAAGGAAATTCAACTTGCTGGGAAAAACAGCTCAAGTTTGTTTTATGTTTGACTTTTGTATTGTCACTCAAAAGAGCTGTCCATTTGCAGTGGGACAGCTCAAGACATGGACAATAGTCCAGGTAAAGAGGACCCAGGGCTGAGTCTCAGCACCTGTGGTAGGTAACATGTTTTGAACAATGGTACAGTAACTGGTGTGGGTAAGTCAGGCAGCTGAACGTCAACCGACCAAGGTGATGCTACTCAATAAGCCTTGCATATATCCGTGGAGGCAGCGCTTGAACAGACTGTAAAGGACTTATTTCCAGTGTCACAGGCATTGTTTGTGTGAGTGGTATCTGTAGGACTGAAGGAGTTTGCCAGTCACATCTGACATCTCACATCTGACAAAACGGTGGATGCGCCCCTGCTGTGTGCTACAACCAATGAGTGAGGTAAAAGAAGGAGAGGGTCTCTGGATAGGAGGATGCAACATCATTTACAGTCCACTGATAGGATGGGCACTTCAGGGAGAAGAGGAAGGTTAACCCCTCAAAGAATAGAAATGATGGGTATAATGCATAGGTATGTTTAAATTAGTTTATATTGACAGGAGTATCATAATTGTTTCATTCCTAAAAGTTTGTATTTATATATTCTGTTGCATGTTTCACCATCATGTTTTCTACAGTACCTCTGAGAGGACAAACTGGCAGGAAGCAAACGTGTTTTGTTAATTACTAGGTCAGCTTTTTGCACAGTCTCATAACAATGTGGTACTGAGGTGCCAGAACATCGGACACTTGAACAAAGTGCTCTGCTTTGTTTGATATAATGCTCGTTATCTTTAGTATTTAAACCTCTGATCATCTGTAGCATTGCCAACATTTATTTAAACTAGTTCTAGGTGTTTGTCGCTTCATGGAGGTGGGCAAAAACTATAAGAGCTGACAAGAATACAAATCAGGAACTAATTAAAGTCAAAACCTCTCTTTAGATCTTCTTGAACTCATACCTGCACCTGACTGGACTCATCTTTGTGGTTATCAAACACTTCCAAAATGTCCTCCACTCTCAATTTTCCCATTTCAAGGACTAACTAAACTACTCAGTGGTCTCTGCAGACCACACAGCTTAAGTACCGAATCCATGTGGTCAAAATCAAGCAACTCTCCATCCTGAATTTTATTTTGCGGTGTTTGGGCAGTTTGTTCACCAGCAGGGATCAGGGTAGGTGAGGGTGGAGTAGGTATGGTATGTTGAAGGTCAGCTTTATCCATTATAAGTCTACTGTCTGGAAAAGGAGCTGAACCAAGCTCTCCTCTGTAGCAATTTGAATTTATAATAAATGTCCTAAAGTAAAAGGGCTCTATTTTGGTGCCTCGCCGGAGACGTGCCGCAAGCGCAGCGTCAGTCAGATCCGCCGCGCTGACAAGGCGTTCCCAAGCACATTTTGGTATTTTGGTGAGCCGCGCAGCCCAGCGTAAGTATCCCCCCTCCCTAACTCAGCTCCTCCCAGCACCATAAGTCGTAGACGGGGCGTGTAGTTGGTTTAACACAGCCGAGACCTGTTTTCACCAATCACATAAGCTCCTCTCCTTGCCTTTAAATCCGCCACAGGCGTATTACTATTTTCATGGAGTAGTCAAAGAGATCAAGAGATGTCTTAAGACAGTAATGCCACAAGATGGCGACAGAGGGCAGCTCCTCAACAAGTGTCCTCCACACTCTCTCATATGAGCACAGATGGATTTAGTGCGCGTAATGTTGGACCCACTGGTAAGACAAACACCCGTTTCCACAAATAAAGACACTCACATAAAGTTGCTCATATTCAAACCTCACGTGACAAAGGTGGGTTGAGCGCACAGATCACAACATAAACTCCAAAAATGGCATTAAAATCGGAACCATCTGTGCGTAAATGACCCATCGCGCTCCGTGGCCTGGCTCTTTCTTTCATAGATGTTGGCATATAAATAAATTTGGCTCACAAAACTGAATATTATAATATCCGTATGTCGGCTTAAAGTAGATAACGCATCTGAGCACTGAAACAAATCATCTGTTCAGCTGCAGCAGCAGCAAGACGGACAGAGGACACGGAGACGTGTCCAGGTCGAGCTGTGCGAGAAATAAGAGGAAGAGGAAGAAAGAAAAGGAGGGAGACACATTACATATCTTGTTAACTTCATCATGTGTGTATATTTACTAGATATTTAATTTAATTTGATGCGGTTTCAGCTGTGTTGATTCGGTCAGGTTGTGTGTCCAAACGCGTGCCAAACGCGCTCATCAGATCAGATATAGATCAGAATATATCGATATAGATCTAAATGTATGTGCTGACTCAGATTAATAGTTGATGATGATTATTTATTGCACTGAAATGTGCCTGACACTGTGGAAACCTGCCGGTGAGGCATCAGTGACGTATGTCGATACGCCGCCGGTCTACCAAAATACTACAAGACCAGCTGCGTTCCGCCTTGCGCTGAAAGCTGACCAGGTTTGAATCGGCGAGCTTTCAGCGCACTTTACACGCCGTTGGCGAGCACGAAAATGTCACTGCGCCAGCTGATTCTGTCGAAACCTCCCCCTGCCACGCCACCACGCCCAGCTTGGCGGATCTCGGCTCGCCTCCGTGCGGCTCATGCCACGAAAATACCAAACCGGCCTTACGCTGGGCTCCGCCAGACGAAAATACAACTGCGCGGGGCTCGCCGCCCTCCGCCGCCTCACCGGCGCGCACGAAAATAGAGCCCATAGAGTTAAATTATGACATTTATGTGCTTCTTGAAGGGGCACCAGCTACCTTTTTCTGGTGGGAAAAGGACAAAAACAAAGTTTAATTCAGTAATCGAACGTTTAAAACAGGACTCCTGATGCAAACTAATATGGGTTTGTTTCATTATTTAGCTGAATAATGTAATGAATGAAAAATGAATAAATGGGATGACTGCAGCCTAACTTTTATTTTATTTTAAATGTGTTTAACACATCCATGAGAAACTTTTGGATGTTTTTAGCTGACCCTGTGCTCTGACAGCTGCTGCAGCTTTTACAGGTAAAAAAAAATAACCGCAACAAACTTCCATCATCTCACTAAGGGCCTTATTTTTGAAGGTCATAAAGGAGGAACAGGATTATTTTATTATTTTTTATTTCAAATATGAACATATTACATGGCAGTGCGGAAGGAGCAGTTTGCACCTAGCTTTAAGAAAATCACTTTAAGATTGATATTTCTCTGGGTGATATTCTTTGTGTTTCTCTCCTGATCATTATGTATTCGGTTTTTCTTGGCTTTTCCTTTTCC